GAAGGACTGGCTGCTTAGGTGGGAAGGAGTTAGAGGGTGGGGTGATGTCAGCAGGATGAAGATGTGGAGAGTCAAGCACAGGGCAGGTTTAAAGGAGAGAAGAAATGAAAGAATAAAAAAGGAAAAAATAAAGTCAAACCAGTGTAAAGAGAGAAGCCTGGAGAAAGTGGAGGGAAACTCAAATGAAGAGTGAACGCAAACCCATCCTTAGGAGGGAAATGCTCTGGGTGAGCAGCAAGAGATTAAGGGATAAACTGGGAACCTGAGGTGGAATGATCTGTGATAAGGAATAGAGACGGGTTGGGGAGACGCAGAGAAAGAAACAGATGGAAAACGAGTGCTAGAGAAAATGATGTGTAAAACTCGATGAAATTTACTCCTGGGGGAATTCAGCCCAATGCAGATTTTGCACAGAATTTCATGTTCTGTGCAGCATTGGGGCTGCAGAGCTGCTGGCCATCACTAGGGGCGCTGGACTCTGCAGAGCCCACTCTCCCTCTTGCAGTGAGCTGAGTGGCCGGGCTGGGATGGAGGCTTTGCACACTGCACTGCAGGGCTTGATCATCCACCAGAGATGGGAGCGAGCCCAGGAGACAAAAGGTGAGGAAGGACAGGGCTTTACCGCGTCCACCAGCAAGACAAAACTGTGCTGAGCGGAGCCTGGGGCTGAGCTTTTGGGGGAGGGTGGGCAGATGTCTGTGCTTGGCGGGGCCGGTGCTGGGCTCTGGAAGGAGGAGGCAGGTGTCTGGGCCAGGGGGACCCCATGGCTGGGCTCTGGGGACAGCGGGGGGGGGGAAGGGAGCATGTGTCTGGGCCAGGAGGCCTCACACAGCACCCTCCAGCAGCCCTCAACTGGAACTGGGTTGTTTTAGGGTTTAACTCTCCACTCCCGGGGGAATCTTTCTCACTGCCTGCGTTATTGACATACCTGCTGACAAGTATTTTGAAATTAATTACTAAAATAATTGAAACGGGTGTGATTGTATTGTGTTATTTTGACAAATAAAAAATGCAGAATTTTGCAAAATTTTAAAAGGTGCAGAACTGGTCATTTTGGGGTGCAGAATTCCCCCAGGAGTACAGTACACACACCTGAGCCCAGTGAAGGTGTCCCCAGACACCCCAAGTGGTGTCAAGAGGCTGCAGCCATTGCTCAAGCCCAATACTAGCGGATGCTTCAGAGAAGGCGGGTGACTTGACCAGTTGTGCAGAGGGAGGCTGACAGATACCAGGTTTCATAGTGGAGGCCCATTCATGTGGAAACAGCTGCCTTGACAAAGAACACGGTCTTCATTGTTACATGAAATTGGGCCAGCTAGTAAGGTTAGGGAGGACTAATGACCCCCCAGAGTTTGGCAGAAAGCAGCACGTTTATTATATTGATAGCTAAGCTCAAAAGAAGGGGTGGGGGAGGGTGTCACACTCACACTCGCGTACTCACACTCCCAGGACAGGCACGGCACTGGAGATGTCAGGATCCTTCAAGGTAAGTGTCTCACAGCACAGCGATGGATGGTGTGATGAAGGTAAGTCTTTCCGAGGCACGATGAAATGCAATGCGGTGAACCACTGGCCAGGAGGTCCGGGCAAAGGGCCTTCACGGAAGGGAGCTTGTTGCTAACATCCATCATTTAGTTATCGAGTGACTTTTAAGAGGGTTTTTTAAAAAAAAAAAAGTTTGGTACCTCAGCTACTTTTGAGCCATCATTAATTTCACACACCCCACCCATTAATTTGTTAATTAATGAACATACTTTGTCTCTAATGACAGGTTTCAGAGTAGCAGCTGTGTTAGTCTGTATCCGCAAAAAGAACAGGAGTACTTGTGGCACCTTAGAGATGAAAGCTTATGTTCAAATAAATTTGTTAGTCTCTAAGGTGCCAGAAGTACTCCTGTTCTTTTTGTCTCTGTTACTTTCCCCCTTGACAAATTTTTAAATGTTCATCTTACCCCCTGTAGCTCAGCATCAGCTCATTTCTGTTAGTGGTGAAAGATCAAGTTACAACACATAATGTGAAGATTTATTTCATGATGAAGTAGAAAAATCTCCAAAAATATCATGCCCAAGAATAATCTAGAGATCACGCAGCCACTGTGCTGGCCCTGTATATGATGAAAAACACTTCAAGCCAGGGGGTGCTGCTAGGGTTGCCAATTCGGTCGGACCGGACGCCATTTGCAGCAATGGCATCCAGTCCGACCGAGTTGGTGTCAGGGTTCCCCCCCACTCTGAACTCTGGGGTACAGATGTGGGGACCCACATGAAAGACCCCCTAAGCTTATATTTTACCAGCTTAAGTTAAAATTTCTCCAAGGCACAAATCCCTTTCCTTGTCCTTGGACAGTATTGCTGCCACCACCAAGTGATTTACACAAAATATTCAGGGAAGGGTCACTTGGAATCCCTATCCCCCCCACTAATATATCCCCCCAAGCCTCTTCACCCCCTTTTCTGGGGAGGCTTGAGAATAAACTACCAGCAGCTGTCTTAGCAATGTAAGCACAGACCAGACCCTTTGTCTTCAGGACTCTGAAATCAATCAGGTTCTTAAATCAAGAACTTTATTATAAAGACAAAAGTAAAAGAATCACACCTGCAAAACCAGGCTGGAAGGTAACTTTACAGGGTAAGAAAAAGATTTAAAACACAGGGGATTCCCCTCTGGG